CCTGTGGGGCATCCTTGGGGAACTCTTTTAGCACTTGGAACCGTCTCGGGGTGGTCTTCGGGCCTCTTGGAGCATCTTGGGAGCCATCTGGAGGCAGCTCGAGATATCTTGAGCCATCTTGGAGTTCATCTTGGGCTCTCCGGGGCCCTTTTTGGCGCCGTATTGGGGCATTTTAGACGTTCCGACATCTCGCGAAACCCTCCGTCCATGTCCAAGCCCCTCCCCGAAAAAGGGAAGAAAGGAGGTGGAAGAGGAAACGCCATAGACCACCTACGCCCAGAGGGCTGGTGGGATTTCCAAGGCTACCCTTGCATCCTTGCCCCTTTCGGCCCATCCTCGGTGACTCTCGCTCGCCAGTCTCGTTCGAACACGCCAACATGACCCTGTCAAGGCCTTTGCATCCTTACCGCGCATCCCCAGGATGCGTCTTGACTGGATTTCCGCCAGTTGTAGCGCGATCTACGCGCATCGTCAAGGCGTCAAGGGCCTCGACGGTGGTGGAGTCCGTTGCCGGCCAGCGAAACGCAGGCGCGAGCCAGGCTCAAGTCGGGCACGTCCCCATACAGGAGGAATGTTCCAGAACGCTTTCCACATCGTCGGGGGGCGATCTTCCCACTGTTTTTGTGGTCGTGCTTGAAGATCTCCCTGCTGTTGTAAACCTTTCTTCCACGATTCGCCCGCAGGAGGACATGCCCGACCCAAGTCAGGAGAGGAAAAAACACACAGACACAATTAATCCTCGATTCCCCAGAAAATATGGGAAAATATGGGAAGTGGGGGGGAAGACAGAAACCCAGAAAATATGGGAAAATATGGGGAACATTTTTATTTGTGTGTATTTATTTGTGTGTCCTGGGGCCCCTTCACCAAGGCCAGGCCCGCTCCCCATGCGTTCTGACCACGGATTGGGCCTTGGCTCCCGGCGTCGGCTCCCGGGCCCCCGCTGCAGCCGCCGCCCCGCGGGCTCCGGTCCGCCGGCGCCGCGCGTTGCCCCCCGCGCGGCGGGGCGCAGAGCGGCTCTCTGCACGGCCGGGGGGCCCGGCCAGGGCCGCCCCTCTCCTAATCCTCCTCCTCCTCCTCCTCCTCCTCCTCCTCCTCCTCCTCCTCCTCCTCCTCCTCGGGAGCCTTTAAAACGACGCGAAGATCGGGGCAAAATCGGATCGGGACAACTCGAAATCTCTGAGAATATCGGAGGGCACCAACCATACACCAACACCGATCCTGGCCCAGGATCACCCTGGGCCCATGATCGGTGTATATGCCTTCTTGCCCAAGGCAGGAGGGCGTATACACCGATCCTGGGCCCAGGGTGATCCTGGCCAGGATCGGTGTTGGTGTATAGTTGGTGCCTTCCTAAGAATCGGCGGGTTTGAAGGATGTATTGGGCGCCGCGGCCGCTCCAGAGCGTTCCGGAACGCTCTGGGAGCGCTCCGGAACGCTTTGGAGCGATTTATCCCGATCCTAGCCCTGTTTTAGCCTCGAGACGGGGGTCCATGCAAATGCAAAACGGGGTCGGCCGAATCGCCAGATCTTGCAGGATCCTGCAGGGCCAGGCTCCCATTGACCCGGGTCTTGGGCGCAGGGTCCTGCAGGATCTTGCGGGATTTGTCGCGTTGACCCAGGCTTGGGCGCAGGGTCTTGCAGGATCTTGCAGGATTCTGCAGGGCCTGGCTGACCTGGGTCTGGATTTTCCCGGGTCAGAAGATCCCCGACTTGGCCCGGCAGCGGCGCATTTTTTCGGCGACTACGGAGGGTACGGTTTCGCCGGGGTGTGGTTTGCGATCGGCACCGTTGGGGCCCGGGGGGCGCGGCACTGTCCTCGTCGGGCCTCTTCGGGTTGCGGGAGAGCTTGATCGACTCTATCGAGGTCCCCGCGCGCCCCCTGGGGTGCCCCCCAGGATGTCCCCAGGGCACTGGTTGCAAACCACACCCTTTGCAAACCACACCCTGTGGAGTCGCCGACACTTCCATCGGCCAGGGGGGAAGTGAGAAGGAGGAGGAGGAGCAGGAGGATACATCGGCTCCCGTTCCGCGGCGCCCTCCAGGTGTTTTTGTTGCGCTGCTTCGCCAAGTCGGACATCCATATTTTTCCTAGCCACAGAACGCCACGGAGGAGGAGGAGAAGGAGGAGGAACCGTTCGCAGTCCAGGCACGCCATTTGCACCAGTCCAGTGAACTCGCACGCAGTTCCTCCCCCTCGTGTTCTGTCCATCCCCCCCCGCCCGCCCCCCCTTTTTTCGGCAGCGAGCGAGGGGGGGAAGTGAGAAGGAAAAGGCCTTCTCAAAAGGCGGCGGGGTTTCCCAGAAGACCTCCGACTGGCGGGCAACCACCGCATGGAGAATCGATGATCGCGGACTGCCACAGGCGGTGGACATGGATATACGGTGGCCCTGGCGGGGGGGCCAGACATATCCGTATCCACCGCCCGTTGGGCCCCGAGGACGTCGGTTCCACGGGCGGTGGACATGGCATCGGCCAGGGGAGGCGTATTCGCGATACCGCTGCCCAGGATTGCCCTGGCCAGGTATGGTTGTGGTGTGCGGGTGCCTTCTGTTGGACGCGGCCAGTGGGCCTGCGCTGGATGGGGCCTGACAGAATTTGTCAAGAAGAGATGGCGAAGGCAAATCGGCCAGAGTCTTTCCCCAGGCGCCTCCCTGGGTCGAAACTGAACGCATAAGTTTCAGAGGAGCATGAAGTATTGATATTGATCGTTTTCAAGGGTTCCAAGTTTTCCCGTCCTTCCGCGCGGGCTCCGGGGACGAATGGTCGAGCGCATTCTGTCGCGCCGGTTCTTTGCGTGATGTGCGCGGTGCATTCTCGTGCATCGGAGCACCCTCGGAGATTTCAAGCTGCATTCTGTTTTGCTCTTGGGGTGTCCGCGAGTCGCAGCTGCCGTGGCGCGATTTTCGAGGTGACCCCTTCGAGTGCTGTTCGCGGGCGCAGGGCGCGGCGCGCGCTTCGCCCAATCGCACGCGGCGCGGTGCGTGAATCAGCCGGTCGCGCCCGTCAGACCGCCCGGAAATTAGTTCCGCATTGTAGAATGTTTCAACAAGAGAATATTGCCGTTTGTTTGCAAAAGTTGTTCCGGAATGTTTCAAAACAAGGGGTCCGACATTTTCAAGAAACAGGTTTGAGGGGTGGAATGCGCCTGCCGCGCAGGAAACCCAGATATTTCCAACATGGACTCTGGGATTGTTCAGAATCGGTTCCGGCATTCTTCAAATCGATTCCAGGATCTTTCCAAAAATTGGCTGGACATATTCAGAAACGGTCTTTTGTCAAATCTACCCCCATGAGAATTTTCCAGAGTCGCGCGTGATTTGCCTTACCAGCGCGCAGGGCGCGGCGGCGGGCGGCGGGGCGGTGCGCCACCGTCCCCCCCCCCGCGCTCGGCAACGAAAAGGGGGATCAGCAAATGCAGAAGTTCCCCTAACCATGGGCGGCTACTCGATTGCGAATTGGTGACCGACCAGCGGCGCCAGGCCGAATTGACAATATTCGACGCAAAATATACCCCGCGCGAAGGCTGTTAAAAATCCTTGAATCCCCGGAACGCATCAACAGCAAACTGTGCCAATGTATTACTATCGTCTTGAACTTGTTCGGGGCACGTCCAGCCGTGGCAGCGAAGGGGCCCCTTTTTCCCCCCCTCGTTGATGGCGGGGGCCAGCGCTGGTCCACGTCAGGCCCCTCTGCCGGCTCCAAGCCTGCACGCATCAGGACGATCCGCACGCCCAGGGCTCCCGACCCAGGAGCGAAAGAAAAACGTGCGCGTACACGAACCCACGCCTGTTCTTGAAAACGCTCCTTGCGCGAACGCTTTTATCACGAGGCTGCTCCCGCGGAGTGATGGGGCCGCATTCGTGTGCGTGGTTGGGCGCGCACGCCTTTTTGCCAGCCCCTTGCTGGCCTCTTCTTTGCAGGGGGGGGGGGGGGGGCATCCCGGGGTCTTTGTGCATCCCAGGCCCCGTGGCCCGACGGCGGGCCCTAGAGGCCGAGGACAAGCGCTCGGGCCGCACACTCAACATATCAGAGGCCCGTGTCGGGCCTCGGGCCCCCCCCCCCCCGCGTTCCTCGGGTGGCCGTTTGGCGGCACTTCCCCACGCGTGGCCGCAGTGAAAAGGTGTCCCGCGCGTCGGGGGGGGGGGAGGGGTCTCCCCTCTCCCTGTCGGAACCGCATGCCCAGGGTAATACAGTACGCCTTCCTCTTTAGCCCCCCTTTTAACCACGGGAGCTCTCACCAGTTCGGTTTTCCCAAGTCACGAGCGCGTGGCAGGGCTATGGTGTTCTCGCCATGCCCCAGTACATGAGAGTTGCTGGGGCGAGAAAGTAACTATCCCCCTCGAGTCCCGATGTTCTTTTCCCTTGCGTGTGATCATCAGGGGTATTTGGCTAATTATCCATACCGCTATGCTTCGTTCAGTTTCCCTTGTTTGGGCCCCTGGGGAGGCCATCGTCGCCACCACTGGTTTCGCCTCGAAATTCTGGTGTCAGAACGCACCCCAGGAGAGGCCCGGGGAGTAGCAGTATCGGTGCCTCTCGGTTTCCCCAGTATCGTCGGGGACCTCGATTTGTGCAGCAGTCGAGTAGGGCATCGACTACAGCATCGATTTGCCCCCCACCTGTTCTTTCTCGCCGCGTCTACGAACGTACACGCAGGCCTCCCCCACATTCGGCCCCATTCTGCATATTTCAGCCACGCGCAGAGGGGGGTGGGGGGAGGGTGGAGAACTTCTTAGAAGCACCCCTGCTTCTGAGAAGGCGCGGGCCTCATCTACAGATGCAGGGCCGGCGCCTTCTAAGAGGCAGCCTGCTTCTGAGAAGCCCTCCCCCCTCCCCCCCCAACCCCCTTGTGCGCGCCGCCGAATCTTTTCCGCAGGCTCGGCGGACGTACGCTTCTGGAGCGCCGCGTTCCTGCGGCCGAGATCCCGTGCCCGAGGCTGCGGGGGACCCTTCGCGCGCCCGGCCCGCTCCGCCGCGCGCCTCCCCGGCGGAGAGAG